CCTGTCTGCTGTCCCTGTCTTCTCGCCAGATCCCAGCTCCCCTTGTTCAAAGCCCCTTGGTAGACAGGCCCCGATTCTACCTTCAAAGCAGAGGTATGTGGGATTCTTCTTACTACCCTGTGTCCTCCTATCTATCTCTTTTTCCATCTGGGGAATCCTCTTGCAAGAGAAGCCTTCCCAGGCTGATCAAAGAAGTGCTGGAACTTTCTTCCCCTTTTCAATTTGCATTTGAAAATCACAAAAGTTATTTTCACCACTCTTCATCCTCTCTCCACCCAACTTGCCGTGAATTCTTTCAAATCCTATCTTCATCCCTAACAAAGTATATTTGTTTATTCTGGGCCTGTTTTGAGGTCTACTTCAGTTCTTCAGTTAGCGCTATGCTGTGTGTCGCCTGTGTAGATGTGTCTATATCCCTGCACTGTCTTCATTTTAAACTCCATGGTGACCAGGACACGTCACCTGGGTTGCCCCCTTCAGCTCTCCGCCATGTACTGTAAGCTCTTAATATTCTCTGATAATGATGAGCTAAGGGAAACCAGCCTCCTGGGAGTCTCGCAGATATGAGCAACAAATGGAAAAATAAATATACATACACATATGTGTGCACATATATACACACGCACAGACACGTACGTGTATCTCCAACACTACCAGGCATCCATGACCTATTGGCAATCGTGGTAGCTAAATTTCCTCTCTTCCTGCTACTAACTCATTCACAGCCACTGACTCTAGCCTGAGTTTCTGTATCAAGCAAAACTCCAGTTCCAACGAAAGGGATTGAACTTTCTGGGCTTGGGAAAAACTTTCTAATAAATCCAATGCAGCCAGCAGATGCAGAATGGCAGAAAGTGAAATCTGCAAGCACCTCCATGCCCTGAACTGCCAAGATACCTAATTAGGCTATAGAAAAATGCAGAACATTTCATATCATCAGTTTCAAAAACTACAAGGAACCAATTATCCCTCAGAGCTGTCACAAGAATATAGAGTTCTTCTTGGAAACCCCAATTCTCCTCCTAGGCACAATTCAAAACAGAGAGAAAAAAAAAATCAATACTGGAAATGTCAGAGATTCTCCTAGCCAGTGTCTTACGGACATCTCTCTGAGCTCCTGCAGATCACACGGCCTGTCTTCTCTGTGTGAAGATGTGAGACAAGCACTGTTTTCCTACCTGCTTTCCCCTGCCCTCCCCTGGGGTCATTTTCATGAGTATCCACTAAGGATATTCTTTCTGTGAGTCTTTCTTTAAAGCTACAAAGTGAAAATGTTCACTTTCAAAAGCAGAGCCAAGGAGACGGCTGCACACATGGTGAGCTCTGAGTCGGGGTTCAGGGTCCCAGGAGGGGACAGACATCACTGCTGAATGCAGGTGCCTGGTCACGACCATCTGAGCCTGTGCATTGAGGAGCCCAGCACCCAGGGAGCCCACTTTCCACCTTCCTGAACAACCACATCCATGGTTTTGGTGGCTTCGCTGTCCACTCCTGGGTTCTGGTCCTCATTTGTTCCCAGACCTTCCTCCCACCCACTTGCTGGAGGAACATACTTTCTTGAGCCCCTTCTGCCTTTCCATCATGAAACTCCATCTGAGAATTGAATGTGAAGGCCAAGCTCGCCTCTAGAACACACTAACTGCCAAGTGAGTTGTATTTAACTCACGCCAGTTTTCAGTCCGGGGCCTCGTGAAGCAAAACCTGGGCAAAACCCGCCGGTGGTTCATGAAAATCTTACTTGTTAATGTTCTCATTTTTATAATTTATATTAACAATTCTAAAAATGTGGATTAAATGAATAGAAGTTAATAAATTTCATTTTTCATTAAATTTTTCATTAAGTTAGAAAGGATCATTTTGTTTTCGAAGTTTTTATTCTATTTTTGTAATAAAACACTGTGGCCCCAAGGAAAATATTTTTTTCTAGTGTGGCAGTCAATGTGATAAGCTGTCCTCCTGATTTCCCCCTTCACATGGAAATTTCTTCTGTAGAGCGAAGGGCTTGGGACCACCCCATTTTCAAGCAGTGCCTGGCCCCAGGCTTTCCAAACTCGAGTCTCTCTTAAACCACCTTCCCAATTGGGGCCATAGCCAGGGACACCTACCATATAATTCTTTGCATACTATTTTTCTTAAATCAATCCACTTTTTAAAAACATAAATGTTTAAAAAGGAAACTGTAGCAACATCATTTACTATAAGTAGAATGATCACCTCAATGCCAATAAAATAATGTCATGAAATCCTAACTAGACAGTGTCCCTAGCTGAAGACACTAAGTTGGAGGCCTGGTCCCACTTCCTTAAACAAAGGAGACTGCCAAGTGCTGGAGGAGTGTAAAGGATACAATGGCCCAACCCAGGACACTGTCCAGCACAGTCCTAAGGGCCAAGGGAAAATAAAACAGGGCAACACTTTCTAACCACAGCTGAATGTTATTGAATACCATTGCGTGTGTTATCCAAAATCATTCCAGGTATCTGTTGTGGACATTCCTGTCCGGTCTCCTAAGAATGTTTATTGGGCATCTGCTATGTACCAGGGACTTTGTAGGGAGAAGGGTACCAAACAGAGTAAGAAAAAAAAAAAAGCTCTGTGCCATATGAGATTTAAAATCTATTATACAGTGAAAAAAAACAAACAAAAAGTCTAGGAGAGCCTCTTTCCAGTTTAGCACCTTAAATAAGGAAAGCTCCAGATTCAAAACTGCATACCAGTTCCCACCCCACGGTCCCCTGCAAGAGACCCAACATTCACCAAGCAGCATCTCTGATTATGCGCCGGATAGGAAATGACAAGTGGTTATTAGTTTTTAAGTAACACGCATGCTTTGTAAGCAGTATTAACCGCCCCCGAAAACCTCAGGGCTTCCCAGATAAACAAGTCCCCACCCAAATGCCCTTCTCTACCCGTCTGAGGGGTAGACCCCCGTGCCAAAAGACAACTGACATTTTAAACCACACCAAACAGTGTCTCTTTTAAATGTCAAGCAGGAAGGCAGCTCAGCTCAGCAGGTTTCTCCAGGACTGATTGAAAAACCACTTCTCTGTAGCTGGATTTAAAATCAATCAATAGAGACAGCAAGAGAAAAAAGCGAGGCCTAGACTGACCTTTAAGTCAAGGGCAACTGAAATGATTCACATTTGTGACTAATTATCTCTTTCTTCATCTTTATGTTTGTCTTTCCCCGAACAGGACCTGTCTTCCAAGAAGCAGAGACATATGACCCGAATGCATTCCAGGCTTCTGTTGGGTCTTGGTTTGTCCAGATTTAGAGGAGCCGTTTTCTGCTGTGTGTTTGTGTGTTTAAACAACTGACATTTATCATTCTTTTAAAGTGCACATAAAAAAGTTGAAGCTTCCTGAATCTTATAAAGAAAAATAATAAAAGGATGCCTGCCTTATTTTTAAAACCTAAAATCTCTTTAAACTGTCTTAAAAGTATGCAGTACTTGGACTCAGAATACTATCGCCAACCTGAACCAAGATGTTATGCATTTTTGTGTTACTTTGCCATTAAAAGGGATGAATTACTCTTTAGACTAATAACACATAGGCACCTGTATAAATTTAATAAATATTTATCACTCTGTCTTACTCTGTGCTAGTCACGAAGCACTTTATAAATAACAACTTACTTAGTCCTCACGACAACCCCATAAGGCTTGGTCCTATTAATATTACCACTGTTTTACAAAAAAGGAAACCAAAACCCAGAGAGCTAGTAGGTGGCTCTGCTGGGCACTGAACCCAGCAGTCTGTCTGTAAGGGCCGTGATCTTGACCACTACTCTACGCTGCCCCCTACACACTATGTGCTGAGTGCTTCGTGTGTTATTTCATGTAAACCATTCCATAACCTTATCAGGTAAGTCACGTTTCTATTCCAGTGTACAGATAAGGAAACTGAGGCACAGAGAGGCAAAGCAGCTTGCTGGAGACCACTCAGGAAATAAGTGAGAACTAGGGATTCTGACCTCACTAAGGTGTCACACTGTTAGTTACTCATTGTCACCCAAGACCTCCCATGCCCTCTCCACCGTATGCCTTTTGTTAGAGACAGGAAGGCAGTCTATGTCTGCGGATTAGAAACTATCCTCTAATTGGACCTGGAACCTCGAGCTCATTAGTCCCGCAAGGATATGGTATAAGAAAGAGGGAAGTTTGATTGTCTGATCTATCTTTAACAGAACACGCCAGGAGGCTTAGTGACAAGAAATAACTTGGCTCAAGGGCACACATAATTACATCCAATTAAACACCAAGCAGGGGAGTGGGAGAGAATGTCCTTAGAGCAATAGCTCTCAAAGTGTGGTTGGTTCGGGGTCCCTTGGAGGCTCCCCCAGGCCCTTTCAAGGGATCTACACGGTCAAAACAATTTTCTCAATAACACTAGGCTGTTTCTGCCTTTTCCCTTGCGTTCTCCACAAGTTCTCCTGAGGCTACGTGATGGGCAACATCACAACAGGTTGGATGCGAAGCCGATAGGAGAATCCAGCTGTCTTCTAAGAGGCAAGACAGTGCAGAGATTTGCAAACACAGAAAACGATGCCACTCTTCTTACTTTTTATTCCCAAAGTTAGTCTTCATAAAAATGCTATTTGTTGCTGTAACTAATGATCACCAAGGGGGAAAAAATGCTATTTGTGCTAATATGTAATAAACATTATTTAAATGCATTAAGACACGTTTGAAAGCTTCTCAGATTTAATTTCTAATATGGTAAAGATAGATAGACATGACCCCAATAAGCAGTAATTTTTTTTACGAGAGTAAAGGGGTCCTGAGACTTGCTGCATGAGACCGTAGTGTTTGTTAATCGCAGGGACCGCACTGGCCAGGTGGCCCTCTGCAGCCACGGCACTGCAGGGCCTGGCACACGGCAGGGACTGGGATGTGTCATTTTGGATGGAGGAATGTCCAGCTGCACAGTATCGGCCATCCCTTCAGGTACAGGGGCCCACGTGCATGACGACGGATGCTGAGACCCACATGGCTTACCTGGAAATAGTCTGTAATGAACGATCCAAGTTCACTCTTCAACAGCCGCCTGGGGAGAGAGAAACACCGTCAAGCAGCCTTGATGGTACAGCTCGTGGGGATGAGCTGGCGGCACACGACGACGGCGACGATGTCCTCCCCGGTGGCACAGGGCTGGGGCCAGGCCTAAGAAAGGAGCGCACTTTCCTAGGACCTCGTAACCACCCCCCAGCCCTCACTCTCATCAGGGAATTGCAGAGCACTTGATAGTTTAAAACGCATTTTTCATACATTCTGCAAGGATTGTGAAGCCTGTATGGGGGCGGGGGTGGATAGTTAATTATTATTCTTCCTATACAGACAAAAACAAAACTGAAGCCCAGAGAGGGCCCCCAAATAAGACAGAGCCAAGATTTGAACCCAGTCCTTCTGCAAATCCAACATCTTTTCCCGTAACCCTACCCCATCTCTCCTCTAAATCACTCAGACTTGAAATTCAACTGGGTGCCATGGTTCGGGTGGTCTCACCACCCATCCCTGACAGACCGAGGCAATCCTCAAAGGGGACCACAGCGGGGGGATGGAGACTGTATTTATCCAGCAACAAACAAGTATGGAGCTGCCCTCTAAGGGCCAGACATTGTTCTAGCACCAGGAGTACAAAGGTGAACAGGATAGTTAAGGCCCCTGCTCTCTGGAGTTTCCACTCTCGGAGGTTGGTGGATAGACAGCACGTTATTAAATACCTCAAGATAATTTCAAAGAGTCTTAAGTGCCCCCCCCAAAAAATAAGGGTGTTGGAACCAGCTCTCCTTCTCCCTGTGACAAATAATGGGGCCATCCCACCTGCTCTTTCTTTCGTGTGATCCAGACGAGGTGAGGGGGCTCAAAACAAGACTAACTGGCTTCCCAGAGCCAATGCATTCCCCAGGGAGTAAACTCTTCATCACTTCAAATGATTTCCTTTACTCAACCCACGGGCTATGGTTATTAAGGAACAAATGCTCAAGGTTCTGACAACCCTTCCTGGTATCACCTCCCCCAAGAACACGTTCACACACGTCATTGAAGGGTAAACAGGAGGCTGCAGCAAGATGTTCTGTGCAGACAGCAGGTACAACAGTATTGAAACAGAAGAGAAAAATATCCACGACCTAACTTTCTGTACCAGAAAGAGCCCTGGAGAGCTGCAAACATGTGTTGAACAAGGAAAATACCTTCCTTTTCTCACGACAGAAGATATGTCTGTGGTATTTACTGCATTTTGAGATCCAATTTCATGGCAGGCTCCTGGAAGGCCACCCCATCAACACACCCAGGGGTTCTCCCAGATGTGGGCAGGTCTGATCAGAGACAGGGAAGCCTTCATCAAAAGGCACTGAGCTAAGAGTGGGTTGGGCATTGCTGGTCTTCGAGGTGAGGCCTCTCTCAAACAGGAAACAGCAAGCAAGTGGGCAGCCCTGAGTGGACAGATGGAGGCTTTGGAACAGGAAGAGGTAAGAGTCTGCTTCTGACTACAGGAGACAGAAACACCTCCTAACAAGGTCTTGGTGGCCATTGGGAAGTCTCAAAACCATAGGTAAGGCCAGGCATGGCAGCTCACGCCTGTAATCCCAGCACTTTGGGAGGCTGAGGCAGGAGGATCACTCGAGGCCAGGAGTTGAAGACCAGCCTGAGCAACATAGTGAGACCCTACCTCTGCAAAAAATAAGACAACAATTAGTCAGGTGTGGTGGTGCGCACCTGTAGTCCCAGCTACTCGGGAGGCTGAGGCAGAAGGATCACTTGAGCATAGGAGGTCGAGGTTGTAGTGAGCTATGATTGTGCCACTGCGCCCTAGCCTGGGCAACAAAGCAAGACCCCACCTCTTAAAAAAAAAAAAAGAAAAGAAAGAAAAGAAAAGAAAAAAAAAGAAAAGAAAAAAAAAACATAGGTAGAGAAGCTAAGCTTCATGAAAAAGTGGAAAAACAAGTCCTAATAATGAGCCACTTAAGGCAGAGCCTCTGCCAAGGATATCTCGGGTACTCATGATGCTGAAGGACTAACACGGCTGTGAGATCAAATGACACACTGCGGAACTGGTGTCCCAGGAAACTCACGCTGGGCAAACGCTGTGCTTGTGAAGATGCCACGGGTAAGATGGAACTAGAAAGAGGTCAGGGGTAAGGGCGCCTTCAAGGTCAAAAACCAACTGGAACAACATGGAAGGGGGATCTGTGCTGGCGTAAAAACCGTAAACTGGGGCTGGACACGATTAAACCAGTGACAACTGCCCCAGGACATGTCACAGTGGTGAAATTTGATGCTACCAATTGAGGAATCCAAGAGGTCTTCCCCTCCTCCCTATCAGGAAGAGGCTGCACCCCACAGGCAGAGGGGAGGCACAGTACCCTGACATGGAAGCCGAGGCTGCAGCAAGCCACGGCCAAGGCCAGCCTTCTGCACAGCACCACAGGAAGACAAAGTCTAGGTAGAAATCAGCCAGTAATGGCACAGAAGCTAGAGCAGATGATGCAACCGCCAAGACAAAGACTTAGCAAAAAGGACTCTGAAGCAGCCATAGCAGCGGAGCTAGGACCGTCATGGGTAAGAATAAAGCAGAACGTGAAGCAGTGCCACACTGCCACACTGACAGGGTGATGACCAGTTCTTTGCCGAGGAGGAACCAGACACAGATGTGGGAATCTGCTTTACGTACTACACACGTAATGGACTATAACCAGGTACAGCGGGAGAACCGCATATTTGTCCCTTTATCAAATCCCGAGTTCAAAACCCTCTCCGCTAGGTACCGTTATAGAGTCATCTGGACAGGAAAGACTCTACCTGATCATCTGCGTCAAGATTCTAATGTCCTGGGTGGGCAATTACTGCACTTCGAGTCTGTATTAGCTATAATATGATTTGGTTTCCTGTAGGCCCTTTGAACTGAAATATATAGCTCCTTGAAAACACACACAAAAAACA